CACCCCACCCCCAGGCACCCTGACCCGTGTGGTGTTCCTTGTCCTGATCATGATCTTGGAGCTGGACCTCCGCCTGTACTACATCGGCTCTGCGATCGACGGCTTGTTGGGATCCTTCTACTCCCTGACCCTCTCGGTCAACTGTGTGGTCGCTGACGTCACACCCGATGCGTTAAGCAGGGCTGTCCGTTTCGCTGCCATCGAGGGGGTGACTTATATCCTAAGCTCTGGTGCTCAGGTAGGGTTTTTTTAAATTAGTTTTTAAAGTTGTAAGTTTTTACTCCCCGTCAGTACAGTTTAGAAGGCGGACGTCTAGTGTCACACTTTAGACGTTAGACCTGTCCCAGAATAAAGTTTCTTCCCTGTCATGCTGTCCTCACTTATAATTATAAATCACCTTGTATTTGGTATCAACAGAAAGCTTATTCAAATACCTGGGGGGTGGGGGGCTCTCGTGGCCTAGATGTTAAGGTGTTGGCCTCTCGTTCTAAAGGTCCCGGGTTCGAATCTGGGTAGCGACCGAAAAATGTTCTTCTCTAAATGTGTCTCCTTTCAACTCATTTCCTGCTCTCTAGCAATTCTCTGTCGTCTGCTTCTTGAATCGTCCTCAAATAGCCGACCTCACAGCATTTCTTTCACCTTAGGGAAGAGGTGAAAGTCACATTGGGCGAGATCGGGCGATTGGGGCTGGTGTTCCAATAATTCCCACGAGTAACCCTCAAGAAGCTCGTTCACCACTGTGGACTTGTGAGCAGGCGCGTTGTCATGATGCAGGGTGACGCCTTCTTCAAGCAAAGCGGGTCTTTTGTCCGGATCACAGGTCTCAGCTTGTCTTTGAGGACGAACCTGTAGTAGTCACAATTGACAGTTACGCCATGTGGGATTAGCCAGCTGAGTATGATGCCACTTATGTCGAAAATAACAATGTGCATCATCTTTCTCTCCCCGTGTTTTTGTGTGCGCTTAATCTTTCATGTCAGACCTCCCGCCTTCAACCTCTCTGATCGATTTCCTTACTGTTTGAACTGATGGGGGATTATTCTCTATTACTTTGTATAGATCACCATGGGTTTCAACTGCAGACTTGCCGAGAGGCGTTGAAAATTTGATCACAACTCGGACGTCGTAGCATGAGAAGGTTGCACCAATGTTTTGCTCGGTCCTTTCCTCGAATTTATCTTGGACAACGTGCACAAGAACACCACACTTGACACGTCACAGCTCTATGACCCGTTCACCAATGTACTTTCAATTTGGCGTTGAGATATTTTAGACATGATGTAATGACGTCACAAAATTTAGTGGCTGTTGGTTGCGTACTTTTGATTTTATGGAGGAGGGAAACTTTATTCTGAAACAGACGAGAAGGGGCCAACTGGTACCTCAGAATTTCAAACCTGATGTTTTGGCCGTTTTGAGTTACTAAGACCATGAGGTGAGAAACCAAAGTTCTATTTGCTTTATCAAAATCGTAAGAATTTTGGGAGACGTTATTGGGATATTCAAAGAATAGCATTCGAAACAGCTTGTCACGTTTTGAAACTCAAAAGTTTTTACGTCCAATTTCTCAAAACTATGTAAATAGCAGATAGGACTTTGTAATTCTGAGGTAGCGACAGGAAACAGCGCCCGCCTACTGTCATATACCGAAAACATCTTATACTATTATCTTACAAAAGAAAGTTTGTTCCTTTTCTCAAAGTTCAGATAATTAATTTAGAGGGGCAGGCTTGGACCCTGCCTGAGAGGGACACAACGTCCCAGCGGAAAGACCATGGTGGTAGGGGTGTGGTGTTGGTGATGGTGGGTGTCTTCTTGTTTTTGTTCCTGTTACTGGTGGTAGATAAAAGAATTTCAGTACGATGCGTTTTATCTTGAAAAAATAGAAACATTTGAATGACAACCAAAATAAGAGTTTAAAGAGGCTGTGTGTGGTTAATCCTTCTATAAAGCTGTGAGTGCTGAACTGTAGCTAAAGATAAACAGACGAAAAACAGACAGACAGACAGACAGACAGACAGACAGACAGACAGACAGACAGACAGACAGATAGACAGACAGACAGACAGACAAACAGAGGCGCATACACCACAACTCTCTAGTATCCTCACGACGCATTGTCTTCTCGCTAGGTGGGTATCGGCTACATGATAGACGACCTGGGCTACATGGCGCCCACAGCGTTGTGCGGTGGTTTCATGGTGGTTGCACTGGTGGTGGCAATCTGTATATTCCCAGAAACCATGCAAACCCGACGGAAAGTTGTCATCAACCCCGTGTTACACATCAAGAAGGTGAGTTTGTCTGTTTTTTTGTTAACTTTAACGCAGCTAGCGAGTGGTTGGCGTGCGCTCTGATGTGGTTTGCTCATTTTTCCCTCCCAAACACATCTATCGTCCTTATCTGTCCTCTTTTTCTGTGTTTGTTACTCTCTTGTGACACCTCTAATATTTGGCACTTGTATGACCTTATTGTGTAACAAGTGCTGTAAAACTGTCACTTGAAACAAAAACTTCATGAAGTTTTGCTTGTCTTTTTTCTTTTTTTTTTGGGGGGGGGGGGGAGGGGGATAAAGTTAACGCAATGGGTGATTGTCGTGGTTTGCTCATTTTTTCCTATCAAACATGTATCGTCCTTACCTCTCCTCCTTTTTTTCTTTGCATGTCAATGTTATTCTCTGGTAATACCTCTATCCTTACGCAATTATATGACATAGCTTTGTTACGAGTGCCGTGAAATTCTTACTAAAAACTAAACTAGACGTTAACTCCTTATTAGACATGATTTTTGGCTTGACATGGAACTCAAATCATACTGGGCAAACAAATATTGTATTTAAAATACATGCTGAGTCGACAGTATGTTGCCTTCAGCTTAAAACTTCTGGTAACATTGAGCAGGTTAGTGTGTCTAAATTTTAATGGGTTTGTTACAAAGCGCCCAACACGAATAACCTCTTTTGTGGAGTATTGACGCACATAATTATTTACATTTTATGCTGTCTTGTGTTCGCCATAGCTGGTTCACTGCCATTTTTTCTTCCGGATTATCGAGGCTATTTCAGAAGTTGTTTTCTTTTGATCAAAAGGTAAAATATTTTCCCTCTCATAATTTTATCCAAAGTTTTAACGTTTTCTCGATTGTGTTGTCAGCAGTTTCTAAAAAATACTCCGAAAGGGATATTATGTCTTTTTTATAATCTCTACTGATCGATCAAATGTATTTCATCTGTACAAACGTATATTATTATGAAAACGCTTCAGAACTAAAATGATTAAGCGGGAAGTTAGAGAGTGCCACTGGTAGGTCCTACTTCTTTGCTTTCTCTCTGTTGTTTCTGTCAGTCTGTCTTACTTCTCCCTTCCCCCTGCCCAACTCAACCACTATTGTGTCGATGTGCTTCTCTTTACTCAAACAAGCAAACAAACAGAACGAACAAACAAACAGATAAACGAACTAGCAAGAAACAATGGAACACATGCAAATAAACAAGCAAACAAACAAGCCAATAAACAAACAGTTTTTGTGTTCTGGCAAAATTACATAATACTATTATATCTTTTTAATCCCAAAATAGGTGTTCAGTTTCTACACCAGCGGCTCTTCCAAACGCCGGCTCCAGTGCTGGTTGGGTCTGATACTTTTCTTCACGCTGATGCTCTCGAACCTCGGGAGAGTTCCCGTGGAGATTTTGTTTGTGATGAACTCGCCTATATGTTGGGGTTCTGTGGAAATCGGGATCTTCAACGCCCTACGCTTGGTAAGTACAGACGCCTGACTGTAGGGCACAAAACCGACCATTTTTATAATATACTTTATTTCTTTTTTTTTGGTTAAAGATCGCAAATACTCTTGTCCTTATCTCTCCTCTTTTTTGTCAGTGTTTGTTGCTCTTTTGTAACATCTTTAATTAATCTTCGGCACTTATATGGCCTTATTGTGTTGCAAGTGCCATAAACTATTACAAAAACTAAAAACTAAGATTATAAGTGCACACCATTAGCTCAGTTGGTATCTTGCAGGACTACAGAGCGGATGGCTCTGGTTCTAATCACCAACGAGACGTTCTGAATTTAGGTTGTTTTGGGGAAGTTTCTTTAGGCTCGCAAACAATTTTTCCCGAGTTTATGGTAGATGGGCGTTCAATTCGGATTTTCTGCCTCTTAAATAACCTTACGCATACAGTGTTGAAAGGGGCGTTAAATCTATACAGTGGTAATGACAATAAGATTCTAGCGGTATGAGTTTAACGCCCCTGTCAACACCATAAGATTACTTATGAGGCAAGCTTCCAAATAGGACCAATTCAAGTATGCGGAGAGCATTGAAAACTCTTCTTAACAACCCATGTTCAAAAACGCTACGTAATGGAGATTCACACCAGGGTCCGCTGCCCTGTACACAGACCAGTAAAATAATGACTGAGCAATCGGGGCTCCCCAAACTTTTACAATAGTAGCGATCGCTGTCAGTTTTGTCACGTCGCAGTTTAAAGATTATCTATCTATCTATCTATCTATCTATCTATCTATCTATCTATCTATCTATCTAT